GACTTAACTTCAATAAACGCGTCGGCAGTGAAGGTCAGTCATAAGTTGCGTAGGAGGGCCGACTGAATACTATAATACTAATAATACTGACACAATTGCGTGGTTCCTTACCAATACCTTAACACAACTGCTCCAATTCATACCATCGCACCTCACGAATACCCAGATGTTCCTGAATCATCTCAGAAGATTGGATCTAAACAACTCGTGCGTTATGGAGTCCTTTGACGTGGAAGCCTTGTATACCAACGTAAGTAATACCGCAGCCATGGAAGCCATTTTTGAGCTCCTCAATCAACATCGCGACGTGGTTAACATGCATGGGCTTTCCATAAACCAAATAATGCTACTAGTCAAAGAATGCCTTAACTGCAATATATTCAAATGGTCAGGAACGTACTTTGCGCAGACTAGAGGCCTAGCTATGGGACAACGGTTGGCACCTACTTTGGCCATTGCTTTTATGGCTAAAATAGAAAGTCCCATATTGGAACGACTCCCACTGCTTTATTGTCGCTACATCGATGATTGCTTCATAGTCTGTTCAACACAGGAGGAGATGGATGCATGTTTCAACCTAATGAAGAGCAGTCCGAACACATCAGGCTAACACGCGAGAAGCCAGCCGATAATTGGCTCCCCTTCCTGAATGTCCAGGTTAAGCTTGAGGGTCACACCCATTTCACAAGATGGTATAGAAAAGCAGCAGCAAAATGATCATTGTTCATTTTTCATAGGCACCCTCTCCAAACCAAAGCGAGCGTTTCGTCAAAAGCGTTACGAGCCTGCTGGTAATGTTTCACGGAGAAAGCTGAAAACAGTCTGTGAAAATGGCCACACGATATTGCTGACCTCAACGGCTACGACCATCCCCCACAGTACACCTCGAACATCAATAGGTGGGGTGCTGTCATTAATAGACCAGAAGGCAATCCATTCGGGGGGACGAAAATTCCGTCTCCTGATTCCCTTCATTTCTGACGACAATTAGCAACTCCAATGAAGCAAGTGCTTTGAGGAGAATGCGGTCTTAGAAACCATGTTGACGTCGTTGGAGATTCCCCCAGTCAGATTAAGCATGCGCTAAGTCGAAATAGTGTTTACAATCTTGGGCATGTATGACTCCGATTGCGTATTTTCTGTCCTACCGCAGAGGAGGGAGACTGTGCATGGCGGGGGGCTGGGCCTACAAATCTCTGTCAAACATTGAGATGAGTATAAGGTGAAAAGGCAAGACCACTTTATGGCTGGATCAAAGAGCATCGTAGAGATTGGGAGGCAAAAGTCCGACGTGTATTGCGTCGGATGTTTCCACAGTGGCTCGAACCATACGAGACGATTTTGGAGATGTAACTCGTATATGATTAGTGGCGCACCGAAACACAAACGGTTCGCGCGAAGTTGGAAGCGCTTTTGGATTCACATCGGACATCACAAATGGGGATCGAATGGACAAATGTTGTCATACACGGGGCTAAGCCCGTATGTGGGACTAGCATTCCATCTTAGACTCTAAATAGCGATATTTTTCTGAAGATAAGAGGTGATAAGGATATGCCTCGGATATTCTTGTTGGGGTAGTGTGTGGGCGGTCAGTTTCACGTCGAGCCGTATGGTAAGCTTGACCGTTTTGACCGTGGTATTCACAAAGAGTTCTGCTTTAGGCTCCGAAAAGGGAATCGCCGACGTAGCGCCAATAAAAGGTTTTTAGATTAACAACATCGTGAGCCGTTTGAAAGAATGTTTAACATATTATATCTTCGTGCGAGGTTCGTTTTTTTTTTTCATGGAGGCCGAACGTGGCTATCCATTACTTCAAATTTGCGCATATCTTACCTTCAATCCTTTCGTAAACCGTAGTGGTCTACGGCGTAAATAGCAGTCTATTCATCGAACTGTTTTCGTAACTTGGGAAAATGATGTGTGTGTTGGTATGTGCACGAGCGGGACCAGCACACGCCACATCCAACGACCACAGCCTTGCGCGCCGTATCGCCGCTGCGGCGGCCGGCGCGGCGACCTTAGGAGGAGAAACGGCGCGTCTCCCGGGTACATCGGGTGCGCTTGTCACGGATATAGCCCTTATTTTTGGCGTCGGATGGCATTGTGGCGACGTTTGGCAGCCAGATTTAGCGTCTAGTCAGTTTGACGGTCAACATTTGACAGGGCTGCTGTGATAGCATGGATTGTTGACATTATTAGCGCTTTAATTTGACTCTCGAAGCAACTTAGCGCTCATTTGGAGAGTTGACAAATCGAAAACACAAAATTCGCCATTCGGGCGGAGTCGAACCCACCCAGTCCTTTCTTCGAGAACAATAGGCGCTATCGAATCGACGCCAGACACTTGCGACAGTGATAGCGTGCTGCGATGCTAGGATAACCTCGATTCATCTTTATTCGGCAGCGCCGACACGTACATATTCAGGTTTTGTGCGAACGATTCCTTGTTTTTTGATACATCTGATCAGCCTTCAGTATGGAGTGGGTTGCTGTACAGTACTCCTCCTCTTAAGACCTTAAAGTACAAGTCCGACAACGTCACTCAAGCTGTTAAAAACGCCATTCTCGGAGCAATTTTCTCGACTGCACGCTAGGGGGACCGGCTCAGGCAAAAATGAAACACATGGCTTGTAGTTGTAAGCGCGATAGCCCCTAGACACTGCAAACATTTTTGAAAAGCGCTGCTTGCCCCGTAGACCTCTCTTGTTATTGCGAGGCTGAGACCCAAGTAACTTTGAGCTCTGATGCAACTGTCAATGAACCGTCGCGACACAAAAGAGTATGTTATGTTATTATTATTATATTATATATTATATTATATTTTTATTACTATATCATTATTTATATTATATATTATTTATATTAGTCATATTATGTTCTTTTATTCAATGTTATTTTGTGGGGATTTGCAGCCAATGATGCCCAATCCAAAAGTGCGAAAGAGGTTGCGCGCTTGCAGCGCGGCGAATCTGATCCCACCTCTTTCGTTCGGCTTACGGTTATCAAAACCTCGACTTTTGCGCGGCGCTTGCGGCGAGTACGCTCTGGCCGCAACGCTGCGAGTGAGGTGCTCAATGATTTTGTCACCAGAATCATACACACACTTCGAAAATAATTACTATTAGAGTTGTCGGAAAAAGTCTTTTTGGCCACTTTGTCGATTTTATTTTTATTCCACTTTTCTTCTTTAGGGGCACGTGTGAGCCAATGTGCAATAGATGCCCCCTTAACGCCAAACATTATTGCTCGTTTTAACGATGAGCTCGTGGATTCCGTTTTGGCCTTACGAATCCTGGACCTTTAATGCACCAAAAAGCGTTTTGAAAGTTCTCGGAGGCTAGGTGTCGATCATTAGCTCTCCCTGCTTTATTCCGATTTCAGCAATAGCGAAGCAGATTGGCGTTCTGGTTAGGGCCGGGCCTGCTGATTGCAACAGGTGGGACAGGACGTCCGTATAACGGGCACTTTAGGGACTTTGCTGAACCTTTTATCGAATTCGTTTGACATAGTTGTGCTGGGTAAAGTGAACTTTTCATGGTTTCTACGGAGCATAGTGCGCAGCGAACCCATCGATTTGCATATGTATATTTCTCCAGCGGAATAGGCAGTGCAGTTCTTTAGTAGGAGCTGTCAGCTAACGACGCTTTGGAGCTTCATCATTTTTGAGGGGGGGGGGTAAGTTCACTGTCTTAAGGTTGCAGTGCTTTGGAATCTCGGATCCGCTTGTGGTTGTCACCAACAAAGTAGTCGGGGGTCAAACAAGAGACAGCGGTTAATTTCAAATGCTTCATGAAAATCTGAAGGCTATGATGGCGGTCACCACTTTCACGACCTCTCTTTTCCAATATTTTCTCGCTTTGTTGAGGAGATATTGAGAGAACAGTCTGTTGTGTTCTGAAAACTTCGAAGGAGCTGCCGTCAGTTACCGAGCATTGCCCGGAGGCTATTTTCCAACACAGTACAGAAGACACGCGGTCATTCGGAGGAACATGCCAGAGATTTTGCATTTTTTTCTCCCGGAGTTTCTGGACTCCGGCAACAAGTGTTCACCATGTCGTGAAGACACTCTGGGGGCAAGGGTCAACCCTATCGTTGTGACTTTTTTCAATTTTTTACGCCCCCTCCTCAGGCGTGATTTGGTCGACCCTTATCGACTCGAACCCAATTGTCCTTCGGACTATGTACTTTCATTCTGTACCCGCCCACTTTTTCCTCGCGGAAACTGCGTCGAGCGGGGGGGGGGGCGTATATACTCGGTCTGGAACGGCAAATTTTTACACTGGCAGCTCTCCACTTCGCACAGACTACTCCACCAACATCTGTAGTTTTCTCCTCATCCCCCGTGTTTCGAGCAAACTAAAGTGGGTACGCCCCCTCTACAAAACTCACCAGCGTACGACCCCCCGTGCTTACTCTTACACGTAGGGTGACCCTGCTCTGGGGTTCCAGCGCAAACGTGAGCTTTGCAGCATTCGTTTACTGACGCATTTTTTGGTTTTGAACATGAGCAGCAACATGCTTTCACTTACGACGATTTTTCTCGGATTAATCGTGTGAGAAACCAGACAGATGCTGTAAAGGATCATTGACAAAGAGCTTACACACTTTTGCCCCAATTATGTTCAGATTTATCCTAAAGTTTTACAATGCAGGATCGGAACGGCCAAGACTCGGCATAGCCCTGAAAAGTCAAGATAAATGCGATTCTACCTCACGCATGCACCTTTAAAGATCAAGCTCCAAACGCGATCTGTTCAAACGTTCAAAGGAAAATTGGGACCCCTGTTTCCACACTTCAGCTCAATAGTCAAGCCAGTCATATCGCTTCACACGCTGAGAGCAAAGGACACTGCCCCTTCCTCAACAGTCAAGCCAAGCTGATCGCGGGTTCTATCGGACCAAATTCGCTACCGCAACCTAACACAATAAGAATATCATCATAGTCCATTTTCGCCTCAGCTCATCCCTTGAAGACAAAGCAGGCGATCGCCAGCAACATGGTCAGGACAGCTAAGGCAGTATCATCGGGCAGCCAGGAAACAGCCAAGTCCTCGGGACTCGCTCAAGAAACAGCTGCTTCGAACGGCTCTTCCCCAAGCATCGAAGCTCCCCAGGACCACCCGGTAGAACACAACATAGACGGACTACGGATGAATCAGAGAAGGTACTCGTTTGCGTACCTTTTTGAGTGATGGGATCAGATCAGCAATTAAAACGGCTTTACGCAAGTGCGGCCTTGACGATATCGTTCGGATGGTCGAGATCCCTACCCCAAAGCTCAGGCAGCAGTTAGTACGAAACCGATGGTATGACCGCGCGTGCGTCACCCCCTACTGCTTCATCTGTCCCAATGGACGGGAGGGTGACTGCATGGCATCAGGCGCGATCTACCTGATCTCATGTAGAAGCTGCGGGGAGGAATACATCGGGGGAACGGGACTGCTTTTATGCTCCAGGATCAAGGAGCATCTGGATGGCATGAAAAGATCAAGACCTGAGACCCCCTGGGTGCCCATAGGCTGCAGTGCCATGAGAACGCGGAGTTTAAGATTGCTGTGAGGATTTTGATGACCGAACCACAGACCCCGGCCCGCAATACTTCGGAAGCTTTTTGGATTGGCGTTAAAAGTCCTAAAATGAACAGGAAAGATGAATGCCTGTCAGTAACAAATGAACGCGCGCCGTTCCTTGACCTGTGCGGGCTTCGACCGCCAACGGCTTTATGTCAGGGGTCAGGTCACCTGAAGCCTTCCACTGCCAGTCAGAATAGCGGTGGTCCAAGCAGTAGTCTGTCGTGTAATTACAGGTGAGTCTAACGAGTGATTGTGTCTTGCCCCTCCTATCTAGATGCCTTTAGTCTAGAACAAATTGCTCTGAAGTTTAAGATTGCGTTTGGAGGTTAGATCGCATTTATCTTTCACTTGCTTTTCAGGCTCTGACGAAGGCGACACGGCCGAAACGTTAGCCAATAAAGTGATTATACTATCTTGGTTACGGCTACAAAAGAAATTCAAGCAGTACACGTAATGCCAAGTTTTATGGATAGCCGAACATGGAAACTTTTCCGACAACCTAATATTAGGGGGGGGGGTTGTAGCGAAACTTCAAAAAGAGTGGGGATGTCGAAAAATTTTTCAATATTGTTGACACGGCGGTTAGACCTACCGTCCACTATGTTTTGCATTCAATAGAGCGGTATATGCATACCTTGAGATGAAATGCAATTTTCAGTGCCGTATTGATATTCGGACTTCAAAATATTTCATGTTGCTGCGCTTTTTCAGTTCTCTCCATGTCCTTTTTTCCAGATAATATGCTCCACAACTGCAGCTATTGTAATGGTAACTGTATTTTTCAATGGCAGCATGACTACATGGATGGTTGAGTATCTTGGAATCAAGTGAGTTTCTGAGAACAATTTTTATTTTTTTTCAGTTTTGGATATTACCGCTTACTTATTTTTTGCAGGCATGGTGTGGAGGGGCGAAGTCGCGATGGTACGCAGAGTTCTGGTGCACAGGTGAGGTTCTGCTGGAAGTATTGTTGACTCATAACTTGGTTTCTGATGAAAGCTTCACCGAGATTACAGAATGAAGTCGATGATTTACATTTACCGGGAACACCCCTCACACCTTGTGGATCAAATCCATGGGACAAAGCATTTTTGCCGAGAAAGTGGTACAACTTCGATGCCAAGTGAGTCGAAATAAAACAGCCATTGCATTGATCAACGATATTACGTATGATCAACCAGGCCGAGAAACAACACCTCCAGATAGATTTGGTGGGGTAAAAGCGGTCGCTTATAGAATTGTGGATATTGAAATGACTGCAACGAGTCCCCCTCTTTCCACTCGATAAAGAGGGGGTGTGGCCGGGTGATCTGTCCGAATTAGCTTGCTCCGCCGGCATTTTTGGATGGCTCGGGCCAGCAGGAGACGCGGCTGCAATCGCATATACACCAATACGTTCAATGAAGTACGATAAGTGGACGAGCGCTACAGTTTACACGCAATCGCGCAAGGATCGTGCAGTGAGTCATGAAATCGCGCTAGGACTATGCAGCCAGTCACGCGATCTCCGCGGCTAGCAAATGGGCGGTCCCGACGAGTTCCCACCTATTCATATCCCTCATTAGCATCTTTCCAAGGTAGAGATTAGCTTATGCGACACCTCATGCGTTTTTGACAAAAGCTCACGCGTCTCGTTATTCCATTAGTAGCCCAAAAATGATCCATCTGGGGGTGTTGTCAGAGAAGGCTAGAGCTAGGATTTCTAGGATAGTTGTGTTTTCCGTTATGTTACATTGTGAATCTCTGTGCACTATGAGATTCTTTGAGCTGTACGCTAAAGCAGGAGGAGTCATTCCAGTCTTGCCATCTTTCTCCTTATTTCTTTGAGGCGACATTTGTATTCTTGTTAAGATGCCCCACATAGAAAATTAGGCTGGCTCATGATTTTTGAGGCACTTGGGCGGGCATACACAATTATTTGCAGCACATTTTCAGAGCACAAGTAGGTGTCCGATGCCTCTTTTGTAGAAGTTGATTGAGTTCTTGTCGAAGAAAAATTGAATGTTAAGTGGTGTAAAATTTCTTCTCTAAAAGGTGAACTGAGAGGGGACCAGATATTCTTCTGTTAGCACAAGATTGGATTGTGTTAGCTGGAGCTGAAAGAACTGTCACCCAAGAGTTCCCAGTTCTCACGAATTCTCTTTGCAGGGGTGGAGTCGAACGACCTCAGTGAAAACCAGACTTTATCTCACTTTGTTTTCAGTTTAAGAGCGTCGCCGTCAAGCTGTTCACATTTGTCTTCACCAGTGGCCCTGGTATAATTAGGTGTTGGGTCCCAGCGCAAAGCCCCTCTCGTGTTCCACCAACAACTCAAAAGGATCGCATTCGAAGGAGATTGGGCTTTTGATGTCATAAGGCTGCTTTCATAGTTCGCATCGGTGCCGTCGGTGCCGCACCGACAGTGTGAAGAGCGTCAATATGCGCTCTGGCGCATGACGCGTGCGCTTGGCGCAGATGGGGGGCTCCGAACGATACCGTTGGTTTTTGTGTATTTCTTGTGCTTTTCGATGTTTTTCCGCGCCGTGTTGCTTTTATTCGTGTGTTATCTGCTCATAGTTATTCTCTTATGTCTCGTTTCATACTTTTCAGTTGTTCCGCGGACGAGCGATTTCGTAGAACCCCGTCGTACTACCCCGAATGGCTATACTGAGTGAGTTCATCATAAGCTAATTTTGTTTTATCGAGTGGACTCTATAAATTTAGAAGTTGCTTTTTCTTCGATACGATTTCCTGCTGGTGTGCGAAAGGCCGCCGGATCTTGGTAATTTAATTATTCGCACACCAGCAGGAAATTGTATCGAAGAGAAAGCAACTACTGGGAACATACAGTTCACTCGAATAAACAGAATTGCTCATGATGGAATCACTGGGTCTTGAAGCCACTTCACACGGGGTTATACGACGTCGCTCGTCCGCGGAACAACTGAAAAGTACTCATAAAGACATAAAAAATAAGTATCAACAGAAAACACACTTATAAAAGGAAGACTGAAGACAAGAAGTACACCAAACCCAAGATTATCGATCGGAGCGCGCCATCTGCGCCCAACGTACGCGTCATGCGCCACAGCGCGTATTGACGCTATTGGCACTGTCGGTGTGGTCGGTGCAGTCGGCGCCGTCGGCACCGACCGCACCGATGCGAACTATGAAAGCAGCCTAACTCCTAAATCGTTTGAATTAGGCTACTGCCGCTTGTGAATTTGTTATAACGCTGCACCAATTCACGTTACCATTGAATATGCTAGATGATCACTTGAAGAAACCATGGGAAACTTACAGGAACATGACTTGCCATATCGTTTTGGAGTTGATCCACGATCAGAGCATGTGTAAACGCTCTATCAAATTACATCTAGCATGTCCAAATTCCTTCTCTTGACGTCGTGTAGAGCTTTGAGGTTGCCAGTTGCAGGATAACTGGACTCTAGATCTTATTTCAATAAAAAAATCGTAGAGTGAACCACCGATGCACCGTGGGGTTAGAGAGCGTGGCCTCAGCCATCTTCTAGTTGCTTCTCTGAATCAGCCTGGTATTTTTAATATCCTAAGCAGTGATCATGAAGAAAAAGGCTCAGGAAGAGGTTTTTCAGAAAGGTTTATTTGAAATCCCATATTGAGAAAGCTACAAGCAAATGAGGTGGCCCGTAGGTAAGCTTGTGTGTTGAAATGCAAGACATGTCAGGAAGCTTCAATATTTCTCCATAGAATTTTACAGCAACACACGTGAAGTGTTCCAGGAATTATGTGCCAACCTAATACTCTCCTGCTTTCACTTTTACAGTAGGTAGCTTTTAGTATGATAGCAACTTATGAGGGACGCCTTGGGATTGATAGAAGTGAATGAGGTTCGAAAAATGCATCCTCCTTCACAATTATTATTAGTGGAGGAATGTGCAAGGCTGGAAAGATTGCTGCTTAAAGCAACACCCCCAAATCGAATAGAATTTTTGATCACGAAAGAGATGGCTAGTAGGGAGTTCAGAAGAGTGTTCAAATAGGCGGTATGCGGATTTTTGCGGCAGAAAACGTCTAATAAACTAACTTATATGGTGCAAAAGTAGTGCCCTACGGAATCCAGGCATACCGTGTCCCGGACAAGTTGTGTATTTTTTTATCACGATTGTCTCTCATATAAAGCCGCCTACCTTGAAATCTTACCAGTTTAAGCTTTCTTTTTCGCGTATTCATTCTCTTCGCAGTACGAGTACCCACGATGGGCCAAAAAAAGGCACTCTGCTCATGACGCATCAACCTTTGAAGGAATCCTTCACGGAAAGATCATGATTCTATTTCGTCATAGGTTACTGGATTGAGACTCATCAACCACGATAAGAATGAAAAGAACAGAACAATTGCATTTGTTTTGGTAAAAAATTTCAAAAAAGCTGAAGCGCTGCTGCACGCTCAAGGTGCCGCCGCACATCTGTCACAAATGCTGGCGACGGGATTGTCCTGCATCTCTTCTGCATCCTATTCTATCGATCAATTTGTCTCTAATCTCCAAATCGCACGCTTTAACTCGATTCTTTCATTGATATTCACCTGATACGTAGCCGCCCCAAGACGCACTTATCTCCATTCCCCGCCTTTGGCTCCGCGCCCTTTACCTTCGATTCCATAGAGTCCATAGAGTGGAGTTTCTGTAAGTTTGCTTTTCTCAAACAGAATTTTTTTCTATACGTGGAACTTTGTGTGCTGTTTCCAGCGATCACAGCTAATACGTTTATATTGGGGAAGAATGCGAGTGTCGCGAAAGCGCACGTTACTGTCAAAGGCGGGCCCAATGGGCGGGGCCTCCGGGCAGGTATAAAAGGGCTCTGCCATGCCAGTCAGGGGCATCAGTGTCGGTCGTCAGTCGTCAGTCAGCAGCTCTACGGTCTTCCTAGCCGTCCCCGCGGCAGCCCGCCATCTTCTGTCAAGCCATAGCTTCAAGCGCCCCGATGGCCCCGGACTGGACAACTAGGAACGGTAATAGGAACGTACGATGTTCCCCTATGTGCATTATCGATTGATTGTAAATGTATTAGAGGTAAAAGGTTTAGATTATACGAGTTCCATGACACGACACATATGTGCACACACTCATAGGCTAGGATTCACCAAATCCTAGACAGCGAGAATTTCCGCGAAAGTTTCCTTTAACTCGCACAGGCTGCCGTCTTCCATGGGAGTCTTTCGGCAATATTTCCGAGATGTCCCTCTATACGCAAATGCAAGCTCCTGATCACTCCGCGATTCTCGGCTCCAGAATATCACGTCATCTGCAATCGGCGTCGGGCTCTACGAGGACCCGTAATTGCTTCGGTCTAAATCAGCTACAATGATTACTTCTGGAAACGCAAAATCCCTTGAGACCAGCGTTTCAAGTAATGTTGTAATGGTCCGTGATCCTTCGAGGATCACGGTGTGGACAAACCGTGCACTAAGTTTTCATGGCGAACTCTCCTGACGTCCTCGATGTAGAAAGGTGTTGTGAGATTTGCCGATTTATTGGAATGTGCGCTTCAATGCTCAGCTTTGTGCATATGGTTTGAATTTGGCAGAGTGTTACTGGCGCCGTCTGAATGTGAAGTGTCTCTTTATTGCCATCCCTGTATGCATACTACATTGTGAGGCACAAAATATTTGTGGCCTAGCTTATACCAGAAAGGTTAAAGTGGAATGTCATTTATAGCGACGTTAAACCATATTTCATCGAACAGTTACTGAAATTTCTTACTTATTTAGAAAGACGACTCACGAACTTGGCAATTTTCTTTAAACGGGCCTTACGGAAATCGACGTGCCCGCATGGCTTCCTTCAGAATCTCTTTTCGCAATTTTCGAAGAGCGGCTTCTAGCGGTTCCTTCAGGCTACATGTTTCGACACTTCCTCAGCTTCAACACTGATCGCGTTGAATAAGCCACTACATTTACATTGGAGGTTCATTGGCTGGTCATCTTAGTCCAGCTGGAAGTCGAAAAGATAGGCACTGCATCAAACTTGCCCCCTTTCCAGTTCAATTAGAAAATCTGAAGGCAGTTTATTTTCTCGGAACTTCATCTTAGGTAGCAGTTGGCTCGCAAATCGAACTTATAATCTCATGCTATTCTAGCGTCACTCTCTTCCCATTCTCTT